ATAGAAAAAAAAAGTATTGAAGAACAGAAGCTAAAAGGTTTCTTGTTTCCAAATTACCACCGGAAGAATGTGAGAGAATGAGCAGCATGATGACAGAATACAGCTGAAGAAAAGGTTTATCAAGTTCATCAAAGAAGATGGAAACATCTAGGTTTGTTCAAGACCACATTAGTGTAACAAACAGAGATCACGTTCTTGACAGGTAATGACAATTTTTCTTCTTGATTTTCCTTCTTTTTCGATCACAATAATGAATGGGTCAGACCGAGGGTGCATACACAAGTTAGTTGACCAGATAGTTTAAAGTGCTCGCAAAGCATGCAGTATGATTCCTCCTCAAGTCATGGGATTTGCGTGAGGTTGTCAAACTAATCCATCTTGCGCTCCATCATCCATCATTATAGTTATAACTACCATTTCGGTGTCTAATCAGTCCTTTAATCTACGTTTAGATAGACGCCATCAGACGCTTCCTAGAGAAACCTAATCGAGTAAAACGAATGCTTCGTTTGGACCGTCCTGTGTTTGTTGCGATCTTCATCAATGAACCAAAGTCGTTTCTGAAATTATTCTAAATTTCAATCCAGTTTATTCAGCATTTGATAGTTCCATCACTCATTCAACAAGTAATTGGTCAAGTTTCCAATTAGAAATCCGATCGTTTTCGTGCAGTGGGACTTAGTAGACAGAACCAAAAGGAGAGGTTATACCACTAATATATTTAAGTATAATGAGTTGTATCTGTAATACTAATACATCAATTTGACAGATGCAATCATTGCGGTAGTTGCGAGGGATCGCATCGTTGGACATCGTTACCAGGTTCATTCAAGAAAAACAAGTAACAAACTGCTTATAGCTATGCACATTTGAAATAAATAATAAATTGAAGCTAGCACCACTTGTTCTTGCAAATGAAAATTTCCCAAAAATTTCCTAGAACAGGTGGGCGCGATTTTCGCTAGTAGACTACTTAATGTATAATAAATATATAGATAGATAGATACACACATACACACCACTATAATTCCTAATAGATTATTAACATTCTTTCGATTTTACGAGTACCACGTTTATTTATTAGTAACATATTAACGGAACAATTTATTTATCAGGTTTATATACCCTAATAGATTACGAAGAGTCGTTCATTTCAACAAAGGAGCGTGATTTTCCTCCAATAGACTATGAATTCTTTTATATACTCTACTAGCAGTATCGGGTAACATTAGTAACTTACGAACAAAATAGCTATTTCTGCTATAAATTCCTCGTATATTACTAATTTCATAACTATCTTGGTATTTACACAACTAAGATTTACTTATAAGTAGAAAATTATTTACAAAAGAAACTTAATAAGTTACTATTATATTGACCATGTAAGTCATTAGAATCATTCGACAACCGGTAACCTGACTGACAAGCTACTAGGTAAACGGATAAGTAGAACATGATTTAGAACTTACAACCGATGTTACATGTCTACCATCAACCAAGGGTAAATTACTTCATTATTCTCAAATGGTATTTTAAAATCGTCCTTCAACTTTACATTGAGGCTCCGTTCGTTTGACGGAAATGTAACATTTTTTGAAAATGTTTTCTGGGAGATTATTTTTTTGGAAAATGACATAATTTTCTGGTGTTCAGCTGAAATCTGAAAAAGTTTAGGAAAATATTTTCCTGTGCTCGGCAACCGGCGGCGGCGGTGACCGGCGGCGGCGATCGGCGGCTGCGGCCCCGACGGTCGGCAAGGAAAGAAGGAGGCCGGCGGAAAATGTTTTCTGCTTTTCAAAAGAGGAAAACATTTTCCTTACTTTTCTTCATGTTTTCACTCATTGAGGGAAAATGTTTTCCGTGGTTAGTTTATTTTTCTCCCCCGAACACCGTAAAATGTTTTCCTGGAAAATAATTTTCGCGAAACGAACGGAGCCTGAATCTTTGATCGAGTTAGGGACTGACAGATTGAGTATTTTGGGTGCATGAATTCTGAGGAGATTGCTAATTTTTGTGGCTACTCGAAATATATAAGAGAACTATGCATGAAACCCAACCTTTTTCTCTTATGCTTCCAAAGATAAATGTGCCACTTTTACCTCATACTAATTAAACTCCATCCAAGCTAGAAAGTTGATGGTTGAGCAGATTGGGATTCCAACTCATGCATCCCAACTTCTATGTATGCTTCTTCTTGAAGTGGAACTTCAAGTTTGGTTGGTCGGATCGATTGAAATACTCTACTAATCTCACGGGGCGGGCTAGCAGAAGTCACAAGGAGCCGAATTCTTGGTAGATGACTCAAACACGAGTCATTTGCTCTAGGTTGTACAGAAATTAAATTTAAATCATGCGCCTAATCCATATCCATAGATCCTTTCACTAATTATATCCCATAGGATTGATCTTTAATATTTCCAACTCTTTAAAATAATAATACTAGCCGGGAAAAAAATTACCAATTCGGTTTTAAATAAAATGTGCGGATGTCAACTCATTTCTAAACTTTTAAATTTGCTAATGTAATCCTAATCCTCTTTATAATCCTTCCGGCCACTTACCATCAGAAATCGCTAAGGACCTCATTTCGAGAAAAGTCGTCCACTTCAGCGATATCTGGTGGCAAGTGGCCAGAAGAATTATGTTGGAATTTCGCGCAAGAGATTTATGACTATATTGGTAAAATATAAAAGTTTGGGAACGAATAGATATCCGTACAATATGTTTAGGACTGATTCGGTAAACATCCCAATAATTTGAGCATGAGAATAAAAAAATCAAAAAGCAAGGAAAAGTCAAAAAAGTTCTGTAAGTGTGGACACAACTTAGTCTTACGCCGAGTTAAGACATTGAACAGCCCCATGGACAGCTCTATTAAGAGTAATCAGGAAGAAAAGATGGAACTATAAAATAATTAGAAGTCTTAATCAAGGACTTTGTGGTGCTTAATCATAGTTGCCTTGAAAACTATAAAGAGTACAATGGAGAATACCTCAGTGCCGATCTTCCATACCCCCCACCCCCTTTTTTTTAAGGATTATAATGTCCTTTTAAATCAATAAAATTCCGATTTTGCAAAATATCTTGTTAACATTATAAAATAAAAGATTACTACTACGAAAAACCCCAAACTGGTACACTCATGACAAATTTACTTCAAATTAATTTTTTTACCACAAAAAATCCAAACTAGTGTACATGTGAGAAATATACCATAAACTAATTTTTTGACAACTAAGACCTCAAATTGATACATTTGTGACAAATTTACCCTTTGTTAAATTGGATTAATATTACAAAAAATACAAACTGGTACACCTGTGACAAATGGAAGGTAAAACCCCAAACTGGTATACCCATCAACTGTCACGTGTTATCAAGCTCAGAAACTTAACGGTAAAATTTAACAGAAATTAGCGGATGGTAAAAATGTTACAGGTATACTAGTTTGGAATTTTTTGTGATTAAAAAATTAGCTTGAGGTATAAACGTATCAATTTGGGGATTTTTTGTAATATTAATATTTTATTTTTAATGAACACATCTCCTGCATTGGTCATGATGATCATGAAGATGTACTCTTTCCTCCGAGAACGAACCCAACTCCAACTGTACAATCCGTGTGTGTAGGGTCAACAAAATTAAATTCCACTAATTATAATGCTTTTGGGGGGTTTTTAAAATATTTAAATATAATTTCATTTTTGTGGGGTTGAATTGGTCCTCACGACGCACGCAACTCAAACGAACCCTCCACGTTCCTTACCCAATCATATTTATTAATTTGACTAATCAGTATAGTGGGCTGCTGTTTGCTTCTCTCTTGCCACGACTCTATCGTCTTCCTACTAATGAAAATGACATCTACTTCAATCATATAGTACCCAAAATTACATAACTCTATAATTAATTAATTAAGACCGTCGTGTTGCGATTAATTTTGGGTGCATGACTGGAGAGTTAGATTTTTGCGTGGTACGCACGGTGAAAAAGGGATTTCTTTTCTCGATAAAGAGGCTTAAGATGTTTCGATTCGACGATGGATATAATAGATTGTGAAATTAGGGAAATACATATGATTGGAAAACTACCTATAAAAGGGGACATTAATTTGGGAGAGCGTGTCGCTGTCCTTCTTTGGGACAAATACTAATAGGACGATTGGCAAACGACAATGTTTTTTTTTGGTGTTTCTTTGATCTCTAGGAACAAATTTCGAGAGGAGGGGGGACATCATGAATTGAAGAGAGGAAAAAATAAGAAAATATATATAGATGGAAAATGATATAACGGTCATTTGTTTTTTGGGGGAATGGAAAATAGACATTAAATAAATCCCGTCTGAAACTTATATCAAAATCAAATCATGCTAACATTCCAATTTTATAATTATAAGGATTGATATCACAAAAAGCCCCAAACTGATAAATCCGTGATAAATTTGACTATCAAAATCTCCAAAATAATACATTTGTGACAAATTTACCTTTTGTTAGTTTTTGTTCAATTGGATTGATATCGTAAAAACCACAAACTGATACACTTGTGATAAACGGAGGGTAAAACTCCAAACCGGTATACCCGTAAATTGCCATTTATCATCAAACTCGGCAATTTAACAATAAAATTTAATAAAAATTAACAAATGATAAATTCATCACAGGTGTGCCAATTTGGAGTTTTTGGTGGTCAGAAAAGTAGTTTATGGTAAATTTATTACAGTGTATCAGTTTGAAGTTTTTCGTACTATTAACTCTAATTATAATATATTGCTGTGAAAAACATAAATTTAAATTAGATGAAAAATAAAAAAATAAAAGACAAGGTGGGTACAAAAAACACTTCCGAGTTCTGCCGCAATCGCCTCTCAATAAATGCACAGCGCGGACCCAAAAAGGAAAAATGAAAAAAAAAGAAAGGAATTGATGGCGGACATGGGGTGGACGTGGACGTGGACGTGAAGAAGCGTTAAAAAGGCTCTCCTCCTCTTCTTCTTCTCCTTCTTCTCCTCCTCCTCCTTCGGTCAGTCTTCGTCTGCTACCTCCACGCGTTTGGTTCGCCGCCAACCATCTCTGAAGCCTTCGCTCCTGCTCTGCGACGCCCCTTCTTCGATCATCATCTCTCGGAATGGAGAAATCGCTGGACTCGTCCAAGCAGAAGCGGCTCGGCCGTCCCAGCTCGACGGTGTGGGACTGCGGGAGCGCCCTCTACGACTCCTTCGAGCTCAAGTCCTTCGAGCGCCAGCTCGACTCCGCCATCTCCGCCCGCACCCTCTCCATGCCTCACCTCCCCGGCCGCCGCGCCCTCCCCCTTCCTCCTCCGCAGCCGCAGCCGCAGCCGCGAACGGCGGCCCCGACGGCGGCGAAGAAGCACTCCAGGATCTCGCGGACGATCCAGAAGCTGCTGCGGTCGGTCTTCAAGACGAAGCCGTGCTCGACCCCGGCGTTCGGCGTCGTCGGCGATCGGTGCTCCCGCGCCGTGGTCGGCCAGGACGACCGGTTCTACGTCGTGTGCGACAAGTCCGGCGCGCTCACCACGATCCCGGAGGCCCCGGAGGTCGAGTACCTCGGGAAGTTGTCGCCGCCGGAGATGGATCGGTTCGTGAGGAAGACGGCGTCGGAGAGGTTCGCCGCGCCAAGCTCCATCGGGATCTCATGCGCCTGAAAAGCGGATCATCCACGATAGCGAGGACTATACGAGTAGGTTTGTGCATAAAAGTTGTCAGTCGTCAGATGTCAGGTTTAGCTCGTCAAATAATCGGAGTTCCATGCGATGATTCTGTATAGGTTTTCGTTCATATGAAATTACGTTCTTTCTCTTTTGGAGGGGGGGACATGTCAAGAGCTCAAGGAAACCTCCGTTGATAATAGTAATACTACTGCTATGCTTGATGGATCACAACTGCGTCGACATCATGTTCACACGATGAAGTTCATCAGATCATGAAAGCAGAGAAACGAAGGAGACGATGATGGCCGTCGAACGAACGATTTCGGCGAGGTAATTCCATGGAGGATGGAGATGCTTGCATGATCGGTTCCTGGAATTCCCATTTTTCGTGCTTGGATAAGTCTTTGCCCAAAATTGCTTTTTGGCTGGCTCGGGGGGTGACGTGGCTTTTCTCCTTCGTCGCGCTCGGGGTTTCGGGGTCAATATACCTCGTGGGATTGACCTAACGAAAGAGAAAGGCCTTTCGTTGCCTTGGTTTCGAAGCTTTTTTAGGTGTGTACGTAGCTGTTTCCTTTCGAGGAGGACGACTTGACCTAATCCCACTTGTTTTCCCCCATTACTTTTTGTTTCCACTTGCTGGGCACATCCAATCAAAGTAAAAGATGAACGAATCATGCGTCCGGGGGTAATGAATACGTGTCACGTTTTTCTATGTTTGCGTTCATTCTCCACGAAGCATAGTTTATCATTTGGTCGTGTATACGACTAAGTAAGATTAATTATGGTAAATCCCGACGTTGGATCTTCCCAATTAGGTGGGCTCCTGATGTAAGCGCCCCGAAATTTCGCAGCAACGAGACGCGAGTTTCCTATTGCACGTCCGATTATTCAGCGATACTAACTAAACAAAGGGGAATTAAAAAAAAAGAAGGAAGGGTTGGACAGCTTTCTTGTGATGCAAGTCCCCACGAAGGGCTATGACGAAGGGAAGTTCAAATGGCCTTGCTCGATGGTGGTGGCGTGACCAGTCATCGATGGGCCGTGCGAGGATCAATTGCTAGCGCAAGGACGTCGGCGAGGGACGTCAATCTTAGCCGTCAATCAATTGTGCGCGCTGCTCTAAGTTAGATTGTCACATTAAATGCCAAAAGGACCAAATTAATTACAAAGACGATATCTATTTTAATAAAATATTACAACGGCCAAACTAGACAAAAAATTAAAGTTCAGGAGCCGTTCTCCCGAAATCTAATCTCAATCATCACGTGTTGAAATTATATCACGTGTCTTGTAAATGGGAAAATTACCCAAAAAAAAAAATCATAAACTTGTTATAATTGTGTCAATTCAATCCATCTGCCCAATTTTAGCAGGCCAGCACTAAAGTGGACACCGACCGGCGCTGACCGTCTGAGCATCGCTGACGTTGTAATTTTTTAATATTAATATTTTCTATCTTTCTTTTCTCCTTTTTTTCCACAATGGCGACGAGGCTGGCTTGTTGACCGCGAGCGAAGGTAGCCTCGACCACAGTCGGTGAGGCTGGCCTAGCCCAAATCTGGGCGAGGCCGTAGGCGGGCGAGGGCTATGACCCTTGCCAGTGGCTAGTAGGGGCTTCGCCGCCCTCGCCCAGTGGCCATCTAGCCTTGTCAGAGCCTTGCAGAAAAAAAGAAGGAAGAAAAGAAAAAAAATAATAAAAAATCGAAAAAATTATGTAAAAATTGTCACGTTAGCGCTGCCAGGCCAAAATTGGGCGGATGGACTGAATTGGCGCAAATGCAAAAGATTTAAGACTGAATTTGCAAAAAAAAGTTTAGGACTAAATTGGTATGATTACAATAGGTTTATAATTTTTTTTTTGATAATTTTCCCCTTATACGGTGATATGGAACGAGGTCTTGCAAACATTATTTGTTCTCAAGAAGGCACCAATACTTTATCTTCAAAGTCTTTCTCCATAGTTCATCACTTGCGAAATAGAAGGAAGGCACCCACATTTCAATCTGTCCTCTCAATGAAGGGAAAACATTCAATCGAAACAGCTCAGAAGGGAAGTAAATTGGTTTTTTTTTTTATAAATATGTGATAGACGTAATTAGCAAGAAGGAAACGCAAATATAAAAATCATCGCAAAATTCAAATACACACACAATAACAAAATAGAAAATTCAAATACACACACAATAACAAAAGGAGTGAGTGAACTATTCTGGTTTTTCTTTTTATTCATATTCGCTGACTCAATCAAGTACTCCGTTTACTTGAGCTGAATGAGAATTGAGTTGAATTGAAATAGCTTATGAGTCGAACTCGAACTTTTTTGTTACCAAGTTGAACTTGAAATAATTTTCTAGGATTTGAATTTTTCTAATTTCATTTTTCAGTTTCGCTCCAGCCGAGTAGTCCAGACAATACCAACATATTTTTAGTGAAAAGGACTAATATGAACAGAAGGACTATAATTTGAGAGTCCAACTTTTTTTTAGAGAAATTAGATGATGATATAAAAAATAGGCAATGAATTTTAAGGATATGCTATGCACTGTGATGTTAATGTTATTATTCACCAGAAAAAAGACAATCCAAACAAAGCCCTAGACAAGACGCGCAGGTTTTAGTTCAGGCGGGCTCGGAAACGAGCGCACACCCAACTCAAATCAATCGCTCACTCGACGCACTCCGTCCGGAGGAGAGACGATGGAGAAGTCGTTGCTGAAGCTGGACAAGGGCGCCGCCTGCACTTCGTGGAGCTACTCCGGCGACCGGTTGGCTTCCGGCTCCGTCGACGGGACGCTCGCCGTCTTCGACTCGCGCCACCCGGCTTCCTCTTCCTTTGCCTGCACTTCCAGGACCAAGGTTTCCCCCCCACTTTCCTTTGTTTGCTTTTTTTGTACCCGTGATTGCATTTGGATGGCGTGAAGTGTCGATTCGAGAGCGTGGTGGGAGTGAAGTGAATTTTGGGTTTGCTTGGTGATGGATGGCCCTGAACCGTAGCATTTCGAGCAATGCGTTTGCCCGACAGCCTCAGAGGGCAAGGTGATTGGAAAAAAAAACTGGGACTTGTTAGTTTGTGTTAACTGATGAGGGAGCAGCCGAATCGGCAATCTTGGCTGCTTGTAGTTCTATTTGCAATTGGAACATGTGATGGCGGACTTAGAGGACAATGGCTTCATCTCAAATTGTTAGCTGAATTCAAGTTAACTCTTTCTACATGATCGAATAATTAGACCATATTTGCATTTCATTTGTGGGCTTTGAGCGGGAAATATACCCTAGAATTGCTCATGATGTATCGGGGCTGCGCTTTCTATTTGATGAAGCGCGAACTTTTCCCTGTAGGTGCATGAGGGGAGTATTTTCAAGATAGTCTGGGTTCCTCCAGAATTTGGCGATGCGGTGGCTTGTGTATGCGAGGATGGAACTTTCTCGTTGTGGGAAGAGCTCGCTGAAGGTAAATCATGGATTTGTTGTTCTCTTTTACTTACTAGTAGGGTGGGAGGAATAGCATATGCTCTGGTCTGTAATAGGTGAAAATTTTATATGCTTAAATGTACTTTCCGTAGCTACCACCTTCATCGCAACGGAATTCAAAAACCTTGTGCAAAGTTGTTTTGTTGCTGGAACATATGTTTTGTTTGTCGTCAGATATGATGGGACGAGTTAATGATCTCCTGAAGATTACTAAATGACTCACTATAACTCGTTCTTATCTTATGTAGATTCTATACCCCTCCAGTGGAAACTTTGTGAGCGCTTTAAAAGCAGTTCGGCTAAGGTGTTGGATGTCCAATTCGGTGTTTCTCCTTCAAGTTTGAAAATGGTGAGCCATAATTCATGTTTTTAACTCCACGGATCACCTAAATATTATTGAAGTGATGTCTAGAATTAGTTGTTTGGTGCATTGTGCGTATGGCAATGGCAACCCCTATTTTTCAGTTGCAAGTTTCGACATTGTCTTCCTGTATTAATTAACCAATCATGTAATCATATGAATTTTCACATGCAAGCGCACGCAAAGAGAGAGGGAGGGAGAGAGAGGGAGGGAGGGAGCTCTTGTTTTTGGGACCATGTTGGTTTCTAGTTTTGTGATGTGCATTTGGAGTTGTTACTAGCAATGGTAAGACGAGTTGTTGAACTGAATTTGTCCTTTGTTCATGCCAATGAGGCCAAAACTTCTCTGGAAAAGTTGTCATCAATAATTTCTGTCATTTAGCTTCTCTTAGTGTGATATGTTTCTTAGGTTGATGATAATGGTCTTCTTATAGATTGTCTTCATATTGTTATAGGCATTCAAGAGCATTTTGTGATTTTAAACTTCGGGATTTATTTGTTGTAGTTAAGGGAAAAATAGAAACGAAAGGGAGTTTACGAGCAGTTCTTTGATGATTTCACAGGTCGTTGCTTCCTCAAATGGGTATGTGAAAGTCTATGAGCTGATGAATCCCATGGAGCTGAAGAATTGGCAACTTCAGGTGATCATGTTATCTAATCGTGCTTACACACATGACACTTGGCAGCTCATCATATTGGTTACCTGTTGATAGTATCAACTATCTACCGTTCACTCAGTAGGAAGCAACTTTTTTCCCCTTTTTGGGCCATCTTTTTTTCTGCTTACGGTTCCTCTTTTTAATACTTCATGAGGGGTTTTGCCAGTTCTTATGGTGGCTTCTTCTATTAGATATATTGATAGCATCTCGTGAAGTGTTTTCGCCAGGTCAAAGCAAAGAGAAATTTGTCCAAAAAGGCAAAAGTTTCAATGAGGGTCTTTTGGCCTGGGCTTTTGGATTTGAGTAAAATATTAAGGTAGAATATGTCATGATAATCCTTCAAAAATGTGAACTATGAAATTATATTTACCCCAGAACAGCATGAAAAGAGAAAGAGGGTTTGTTCTGCAATGCGTTTTTCATAGCTTATCCTTTGTGATCTAACCAAAAAAAAATATCTTTTTCAGTCAAAAAGAAATTTCGTTCTTTTTTATTAATAATTTCACTCCTGCTACGGGGATCTGAACTGATATGAGTTGAGGCTATGCCATATGCTGATGGATGCGCCCGCAGGTGGCATATGTGGTCTTTACTCTTATTAAGTTGTTGCTTTACATTGTATCCATCTTTCCAAAGTCCAGTGCAATCATTTATTGGATGGTGGTCAGCATTCTCTAATTTTCTGGATGTGTTTCCATAGTTCAAGAACCTTAATCTTCTTTATTTCCAGGCCGAATTCCAGAATGTCATCGATCTGGTTTCCCCTTCTTTGAAGGCTTTGTGCTCGTTGGCATCAATTTCTTGGAATCCACTTAGAGGTGAAGGCCAGGGGTCGAGCTTTATCTTGGGTTTCAGATCAGATAGTCCGCAACTCACTTCTTCCAAGGCAGGTTTCATTCTTTTCACTCGATTCCTAATTCCTATGTGTACCATCAACAGGTACAGAGTGCTTTATTTAGGCATGTAGTGGTCACTGTGGAATCAATGGTTTCACATTTTGTATGCTTGCTTTGTGTCTGACTGAGTCAGATGCTCATGATTGCATTTCTAGATTGTTGAACATCTATGGCATTGACATAATATCACCAATAGAACTTGTCCGTGCTCCCATTTGTCTATGTTGAGCTTCTCATCCAGTTAGGTCTTGGAAAAACGTATTACTTTATTTATAAAGCCGAAATATTGTAAAGATTCTATTCACTTATGTAAATGAGGATGGTCAGCACCACTGATGAACACGACGTTATTGCGATTACTGATTTCCCCTGTAATAATATTCCAAGGTTATCCTGGATATTTCTTCCAACGGTTCGCACAGCTGCCTCTTACAAATATGGGACTGATTTGGGATCCAATGTCCTCTGCTGCCTTCTCTTTTTTGTGCTAGCCTTTTTCCGGGAGAGATGGGTGGGAGGTGTTTGATCTTGTGGCAGCCCATCATTACATTATAATATATTCTTCACCTGCTCTGAGCCAGTTCAGAAAAGTATAACCCTATGTATGCCATGATGAATTTTTTTTTCCTACTTACGATTCATGGATTTTATTTTGTTCATATGGGAGAACTTTTCACTTGTTAATTTCTGTTGAAGCAGGCGTAGATTGTTAGACTAAAGATATCGTGCCAAAAATTCTTAGTTTTGATGGAAACCCGTGAGTAAGAGATTTAGGATGCTGCTGTAAAATTATATTTTTAGCTCCTTTTTTTTTTTTCAGGTGTGGGAATTTGATCAGGCCCATCAAAGGTGGCTCCCAGTAGCAGAGTTGGCTTTGCCTGAAGACAGGGGTGATCAGGTTTACAGTGTTGCATGGGCACCTAACATTGGAAGGTATTATATAGTTTGTTTTCTGGCGTTAGTGTTTGTTCCATGACTTAGACAAGATGCAAGTTATTCACATTATGTTGGTAATTGACTTTCCTGTGGAATAATCATGCATGCAGTAGATAACTGAAAATGAAGATATTGAATTTTTGGATCCCCAATCAGCTACAAAGTGCCTTCTTCACTGGAAATACAATCAAATTCTTTTTCAGGCCTTATGAGGTGATAGCTGTTGCAACTGAGAAAGGAATTTCAATCTGGCATCTTAGCCTGAATGTTGAAGTTGATGGAAGGCTCTCGGCAGAAAGGGTTGCGTCTCTTTCTGGTCATGAAGGCGAGGTAGGCACTCCCAGTCTAATCTTAAAACTTTTCAAACTTCAGGTTTATGTATCAAGTGTGAATGGCGGGCTATATTGTTATATTAGTCAACTGGTTAGGAGCATTTAGTAAAGTAAGAATACTGCATGGATTTTCGTTAAATTGGACAAGAAGTCGGGTTGTTTCTAAAATGATGGCATCTTGCTAAGATGTCTAGAAGTAGGAACTACTTATACTCAAGTGCTATGCGTAACTTTATTTTGCCTTAGCATTTTTGTAAGACAAGATGGATGGTTGTTGGAAAATCACGTGTTGAATTTTTCTCGAGTAGGTGTGGCAAATGGAATGGGACATGAGCGGAATGACCTTGGCAACAACTGCGAGTGACGGCTCGGTGAAACTGTGGCAATCTAACTTGAACGGTTCATGGCAGGAACAAGCTACATTTGTGCCTACTTAACTGCACCGATCCTTCTGAAGCCTGTTTTGTTTGTCGCAGTAATTGTAATCATATCTTGTAATGAAGGAAGTTCGCAAAAAGCAAAGTGTTAGTTAGGCTAGCTCATTAACAGAAGTTTTAGTGGCTGATCTTGATATTTTCCCGACTTAGAGCAATGAAGGTTTATTAATTTTTGCGAGTACTTGATCATCTATTCACCCAACTTGCTAGAACCAGAACTCAATCCACTCATGCTTATTAGTGACCAAATCAGCTTCATAAAATTCTGGAGCATCTTCCCCATGACATTCAACCATTAAGCCAGTGGACTCACGTTGGAAGCTTGGATCATTTCTAATTTGCTCATAAAACAAGAACTAATCACCGACTAAACAGAAATCCAAATATGACAGATGGTAAGCGAAAACAAGGATGTTGAAAGTAGTAATTAAAGACCAGATGCGTATGAGCATTTGAACACTGTCACAGAACGATGAGCATTTCAGTATCTTGGTCTCGTCCGAGCTGTCTCTATGTATCCACAGTCACGTGTTTCTGGGCAAAATCAGGTCACCGAATTTCAAAAACGACGTCCATGCAATGATCCAAAATCAAATGAATAGAAAAAGGAGACGATTCCTTGTCACTTTTACAGAGAGTTGGATAGGCACATACTGTTGGACACTGGACAGACATCTGACGATACGACACGCACTCTGCACTGAAAACGACAATTGGGATCGGGAGAGCGCTCTTATTAACTCGGCAAGTCAGCATAATGTCTGTTCATCAGGAGTGGGGGACCAAATCAAGTATAATTTTAGCCAGAGTTTATAAGGTAATTAGCTATGTTCTTGGGTCCATCGGTTGAATCGACAAGACAGGCACTGATTAGCCCAACCTAGATGCATGTGAACGGAATCCATCGTCCAGTCGTTTAAGAAAAAGGAAATATGACTAAGAGTGATACATTGCCAATGCAACAGATAAAAATCTTATCTTATTCTGCTAATGATTAAGCCCAACTTCGAGGGTTATAATAATCACAAACCCTCGCATCTGGTTCGTCATTTGACATGTAAACTCATATACCGTTCTACATAGGTGTAATAATGTATAAACTCAAGTCACGCCTTCACTTAATAGTTTTGGGCATTTCGAATATTGATCGTTATCTTACAAAATCTTATGGTATGAATTTCAAAAAGACGATGATCAATGAATTCATTCGTGAACTCTCCTGTGAAATGTTATATGTGAATATAAAAGCGTTTTGCTTCTCCTACGGATAACTCTTTAAATTAGTTGCTAATATATCACCATATGCTTTACTTTGCAAAAGCTTGTTCTTCCTGAATTTCTCTAGCTGGGCCTGATATAAAATTACTGCAGAATGATTTACTGTTTTGCCGTGCAAGTACTGACAACTTCAAAGTTCATATGCCTAGGACATTTTTGTTTTTGTTTTGTTTTGGTTCTTTTTTTTTTTTTTTATAGTTTCCTATTGAAGGTATAAGTCAGAACTTCTTTGACCACTCCTCTTGTGGTGCAGATTCCACTAGCAATACTGACATGGTGACAACCGGGACAAAGTGGGGAACGTGGAATGATAGAACATCTGAACGAGACAAAAGGGCTTTTTCCAAACTTGTCGACCTCTAATGTACATCAGGAAAGAATGTCCCTAACATGCATGGCAAGAATGTTTTTGAACCTAGAGAGAAGCTCCATCCTGCAACAAAACGAGTCAGTTTCGATTAAGATCCTTTCTAATTTGGAGGTTGATATAATGATAAATCATTCGTCATAATCTTAGAGAGCAACGAAACCAAGTCATCGACTTTACTACCCACAATGCAGATGAGAAATCCGCATGAACATGTTATATCCCCTACAAGAGGGTGAGGCCATTATGACTAATGGGGATGGTTGCGATGAGACTGATCCAACCTCTACAAAGTCAATCTAAGTAAGGAAAGTTTTCGAAGATGATATTTGTGAAAGTGATTTGTGCGGAGGAGAGCCAATCCGAAGAACCTGTTTTTGTGAACATCCAAAAGAAAAGGAGCTCCTGAAGTAGCATCATCATCGAGTCCTGGAGTTGAAGTCATTCCTCTTCTCTGCATACGCCTCTCCGTGCCTCATGATCCAAAACCTCTCTATTTCTTCCGCTTTGCGACCCGGGACCCGACCCGCTATCAAATCCCACCTGCAGTCATATGCCACATTGTCGTATGTCACGACTAATATCTCCTTCTCTCAGTGAATAATTGCTCAGTAAAGGAAAACTCAGTCACTAACTTTGACTTGTTCAATCGCGTAAGAATAAAACTCTCCATGACACCAGATGAATCCACTTGGGATATAAGCACCCCCTCTCAAGGTCTTAGGAGATTGTAAACTAGATTAGAGATACTAATTAGATCAAAGGTAATTGCCTTTGTGTAAAGATCATCACTTAAAATTTGACATATTATCTGAAAAGTGAATTGCAGTAAACACTTTTTAATCTTCATCGATATCAAGTGGAGTCGATTTGAAATAATCAACTTTATGATTGGAGCTTCGTCTCTTTCTATCATATGTTCCCACACTGTACATCTTTCAGCCTCCTATATGTTGAGTAATGCTCGAACACAAATATATATATAAAGTCAATTTATCGAAACATGTTGCGGTGGATTGTAAGTGAGTCATTTTCAAGAGAGAGAAGGGGTATGCTCCTAAAGCACCCTAGTCAGACAAATCAAAGGTCAGCAATCTCTGCTCATATGAAAGAAGGGAATAAGCTAATCTTTTACCACTCCAAGTCAACAATTTGGAATACTTCTACTGTACATCAGTGTACCGTACATCTTTTTACGACTTTTAGCCGGTATAACAACGTGTCGTAAAAGCATAAAACTGAAAATCTCATGGTACCCGTTTTTGCACTTGATATAACACATCACCATACAATTGTATGGTACATTAGTGTACCATAGAAGTGTCCACTTTGTTTACGAGTTGATTCTAACAACAAAATAGCGTTGGCATATCCCCCATGAACAATCTAGACATGGGTGACAATGGGCATGAAAAGCAAATTGCAGCTAACGCATGTGTCCTTGAGCTGTAACATGAACACAATTGGCAACAATTAAATGCAAGGTCAAGCAAAAGATCCACCTGTTTTGATCTCCATTGGCCCCACATCACTTATCAAGACCCACTCTGGACCCTTTCAATTGTAATATACTCATAATAATAGATGTACTGATGATCTCCTAGCTTAAAGTCGCTGCAATGCAAATATATATTACCGTACCAAACTAGTTGTTTTTTTGTCATGGAATAAAAATATTTCCTAGCCTTGGGCCCCCTTTTTTAACCTTTCGATATGATGCTGTTGCATAGCGTGCCTTTCTTGTAATTATTCCTCTGCCTTACCTCTTCATCATCACCTCTCTCTCTCTCTCTCTCATGGGCGACCAGAAGATTCTTTTGTTTGTTCATTTTTGGGTTAAAAAGTGAGAAAAAAGAAGCAAAATAACCCACCCATCGGTGGCCGCGTTGGTTTGCGCTCAGTTCCTTGGTTTGCGCTCAGTTCCTTTCACGAGAGGTCCTGAGTTCAAACTCGCCCATCGGTGATTTAAGTGGGGGGTCGTGGCGGTGGGATGCTGCGCTAGCCCCTCTCGAGGACTAGTCGGGCATCACCGCTGGTTTGAGCCCTAGCTCGCCGGCCGCGCGGACACCTCGGTTATCAAAAAAAAAAAAAAAGAAGCAAAATAAAGTGTGTAGCCTAGCAAGGGGAAGTGCATGCCTTCTTCAATATCCATTACTAGAGGACCACATGAAAAGTTATTATGGCTGAGCATGAGCCTCCTTAGAACAGTCCTTTTGGGGTCTGTGAAGGAGTTATTAATTGACCCAATATGATACATGCTAATAAAAAGTAGTAAAGTACACTTATTTCCATATGGATCCCCTTTCGAACCAGTGATCTTTATGATGTGATCATCTATACACATGCGCACGCTCACACAAATGCACGCACACGAGAGCTTGCGGTTGTAATTAACCATGCAAACCAGTCAAAAGATTAGCATGAGACATTGAGCTTGAGATTCCGATAATTACCTGTCTCCAACTAGTCTGTACATTCTGTAAATGAGATCTTTTTCTTGCTCCGTCATTGTGATGAAATCCCATTCGATGCTACTCACTTCTGCAAATTAAACCATAGTACTTATTGCGTTAAGAGAATGATACAGCTGATTACGATCCTTACCCTCAAAATAAGAGAAGCCAATGAATTTGCTAAAAGGAAACCCAAAATTAATACTGAAAGTGAACATTGAAGGAGCTGCTTTTTATTTGTTTGTGTAGATAAATCAAGAAGAAGCAAATGAGCAAAGTTTGATGGTAGTGTAAGAAGGGAACCTTCTGAGTTGGTGCTTGAAGTTGTTGATTTTTTGGCTTGCTTGCGTGCCCGTTCATCCATTTCTTCTTCTCATGCCACACAGAAAGAGGGAAGGAGAGAGAGAGAGAGAGAGAGAGAGAGAGAGAGAGAGAGAGAGAGAGAGAGAGAGTTTAGGTTAAGGATTTGAATCAACTCAAGTAACTAGTTTAGAGAAGAAAGAGAAAGAAAAGGAAAAAGAGTTGACTTGACATAAGAAGGAAGAAACTGGAACAGAAGTGTAAGCTTCGCAGATATCACCAACTACAAGAAACGATGAAACAGAAGACAAAAGAGAAGAAGATGGGGCTATATAAAATGTTCGGTGATAAAGTGGCAACTCTCGCTTGAAATGGAGGGGCTCAACAGAGAAAGCAAGCCTCCACAAAGTAGTGTCATATAATATGTATATTATGCCAATGAGAGACATCGAAAATAGTTTGTGCAATACATCACGATAAGAACGACCAGAAACAAGACAAGGAAAAAGGGGAGAAATGTGGAAAAATTTGCGCAAGAAGCCCAAATATTTGAAGACTGGTTTTGGGGAAGGTAATGATTATCATGCAAAGTCTCGCATGGAATGGCTGGTGCTAGCGACCCGACACACAGTATGTTGGAGAGAGAGAGAGAGTGTTGACTTGTAGTTATCTCATTCCACCATTGTCAGTTGTCACTCATAAGAAACACAACTGAGCATACTTAGCTTTTACTTGAACTCGGACAACAGAAGAGATTGTTGGGATTTTAGTGTCCAAAATTTATAAATTGTGAATGAGAAGTGTGGATGGAAATAGTCCCACATTGAATAGAAGTTGTGATGGGAAATGATTTATTTAGATGAGCCTCTCAAATAGATTTGGGCCCCAAGGGGTACCCCACTTTTGTGGAAGGGAGAGGACCTACGCCAAGCTAGATCGGTCCCCCCCCCGCCCCACCGCCGCCGTCCAGCCGGCTCGGTTCCAGATCCATTCCATCGGTTTTTATATTTTCCCAAACAGACACATTTTGTTTATTTAGAAATTATTGATTTATTTATTTTGGACAAACAAACATATTTGTTCGTGGTACGAGGTTTTTTGTGTTCGGCCTTCTATGCTATAAGTTGCGCGTTGAAAAGTTATATACTACTTACTTTACTAAAAAAACAAAAAACATGTCTGTCTGTGAAGGTTCGGTTTGCCTGAACGAAAACCATTTCGGTTCGAGGCTCGGCTCGCGACTGTTCACGAACTGAACGGAAACCACTTCGGTTCGAGCGAGTCTTCATTGCTCGCAACTCTTCATTTTCGCCACATAAATAACCGAACTGTTCTGTTCGATCGAGACTCTTCGTGGCATATTTATTCCCGCGAGACATTTTCCCGACGCACTCTAGACATGTTCATTTTTCTGTTTCTTCATCATTGTCATTTGTGCAATTATTCTACGAAGTTGCATTCGAACATTTCCTTTGAAGAAGTGCCGCTTCTTTAGAAAGGCGATCCGTTCTATCCTGGGAGACAATTGTTCAACAACCTTGGGTACCGGTAGATGGGACAAATTGTCTTAAGGACACAACGTGAATTCGTTGGGCTCAGATCATTCGTCGACATTCAGATTACTCGTCAGAACGTGATTTCAAGTTTGTCGAACAACTCTGTTTTTACATATTCAAGCACTATTACACAACAACAGAGATCGCTCTCTAGGAGAAAAGTCTCACTCATTATCGTATAGATTCATGCACCAGTTAGATATATTGGTTTGATTGTTCTTTGCCATCTCAATTATTTCATGAGACTTCTGCTTCCACCAATATCCTCGTACGTGCATTAATAAAAAAATACATACAGATCTAATGATCCTCAAGAAACTGCTCCCTCTATTATACAGATTGTAACAATTTATATTGTTGTAACTTATATAATAAAGCATCGTAATATATATAAGCTCAAAATGTCTTTGATCAATCGCTGAAATTTATTATTTTGTGAGTCTGCGGCTACTAAATCAGCTCGAAGCGTGTCCTTAAGTGGATTGCACAAAACCCCTTTAAAGGATATATTCAAGCACCTCACGGGTGTTAATTATGTTGACAATGATTACTATTTAAGCAATGCTACACGTACTCAGAGATTTCATTAAAAATCTCTTTTGCTTCAACACTGATTTTAGTAAGATTTTCCATTACGTTTAGCATTCCACATGGTATTTAGTAAAAGATGTTTGTGCCGTTCACATCGAAAAGTAGTACGCCAAGATGGACAGTCCTCTGATCATGGGCCTACCAGAAAGCGCACATTCTGCGATTGAGAAAGAAACCAAGCGGTAGATTGCGCCAATCTAGGCCCCATATCCTTCCTTATATTCTTGTCTGTTTCATCTTATCCAACAATTATGTAAGGTGTACACTTTTTCTCCTCAAGACAGTACTTCAGAGTCCCTGAACTTCAATAGGTGTTCGGTTTTAGTCCTCATGATTTTGTTTGGTGACGTTTATGGTCCTTATTAAGTTATGTCTACAAGTTGTGTTGCGGTAGGACTACTGTTCGAACTATAGAATGAAATCAGGAATCGGCCAGAGCCGCCTTGTTGGTTTTGTTCCGAACCGGTTCCTGGCGAATTGATCTGGGTCCGAGTTTTCAAAACTTGAAATTGGTCGAGGAGGTTTGGTCTTCAGTTCAGGCTTTGAACCTAGATCGGTGGGAGCGGTTCCAACGATTCCAGGCTAGTTCCAAGGTAGAACGGGCTTTGGAACTAGTTCTTTACATTTATTTTTTGCAAAAAAATAATATCGATCAGATTATCTTGGAATCATTGATTCAAATGTGAATGATCAGTTTTACTAGTTCTAAGTCATGATTATCAATTAAAACCTTTAAGAAAAATATGCCTTCTATTAACAGAGGTTGTGGGGACATGAACTAAAGCCCCAAGGGTCAAGTGACTATGCAGGTGATTAGCTTAATTATTGAGTCCTATACCAGTTCATGGATCTATGGTATTTCATTTGCATGGAGAACTGTATCAGAGGGAAGCTTGCACAGACTTGCAAATGCATGAGAATCGTGGACAGCATATTTCAGTTCTTCCGGTAAACATTTCCGGGTCTGAAAGAAGATGTCAGGAGGGTTATCATCCAAGAAAGATTACCCTCCAGACGAGGAGTGGCAGTCTTCCGAATCCAATCATCAAATAACAGTCACTCTCTCGAACTTACTATACCTTTGGAAGAGAAGATGAAATTTGAGAGCACCTATAACATCATGATGAGTACAAAAGGAGTGCATAGAACATGTCCATTTTCTTGGTTCCATCACTTGTTAAAGCAATCACTAAACACTGGGATCAGCCCTTTCACATGCCTATCGAGAGTATGATGCCAATGGCACATCTTCCATTCTTAAACAGGCCTTTTGCTCTTTCGTGAGGTCTGAATCTCGGCCATGCACTACACGTGACACTATGAGCCACGGCCTATAGCGTCTCTGTGTCATTCTCACTTCCAATTAAACATGTCCTTCCTCAAGCATACAGCGTCCATCAGAGATCTCGCAACTTCGCAGTAACTCAAAAAATGGACTTAATCGTATGCGGTCTGGATTTTCATAGGAACTAAACATGATCACCCTACACTCTACATGTCGCGAATGCTTCTTTTATCAATGGCTATGCAGCATTGCGTTCCAAAACAAACTACTGGAAGGCCAAGTAAAACGCCATTTTATCAACCAAAGAAAAAGAAAGAAAACAGCAGTAATACTCGATAGAATCCAACCAGTTTCAAAAGAGCTCTATTTACTCTTTCCCATTTTCATGAAAAAAGTTGTTTTGTGAACACTACTGATTGGATTTGTGATAGTGATTCGCACGCGATTTCTGATCATCTAGAAACAAATTATTTAGATGGAGATACACAAACTAGTGCCATTTGGAAATCATTTTCCACCATATACATTGGAATATTCTCAATGGTCCATTGAGAATAAAGTTTGGAATTTCACCTTATGGAGACAGAATAGATGCTATCTTGTCCCATCCTGCAAAAGCGAATCAAAGAGTTTAACGAAAGCGAGAGAATTCCACTCAACCCCATGCAGATAAATTGCTCTTTATGACTGCCTCATAGTGCAAGCAAGCACAAAAAATAGCCTGAGAGAACTACGCAAAAGCCCTCTTGCTTCAGTTGCCATGGCCTCAGTCCAGTGCTTCAAGAATGCTGAGAAAAGCTACTACCAACAGAGCCACCATGGCCATCGCATGGAACATGCAATGAGCCACAGCCAGACCCAGTGCTATGGCCAGGGTGAGAAACACCTTCCATTGGGCTATGGCTACATGGCTCATAGCAATGGCCACATGGCTCATAGCAGTGGTAATGGCTACCTAGCTAATGGCCACGGCTACATGGCTCATGGTCACGGCTACATGGCACAAACTCATGGTCACCACAGTGGGCATGCCATGGCCAAAACCATGACTCCCTGGATGGGCCTAAACAATGGTTATAGTGAGCATGCCATGGCCACAGCCAAGAGTCCCTGGATGGGCCTAAACAATGGCCATCACCTTGGCCAATAGGGGTGTCAAAACCAAACACAATACCCGAACCGAAACACAAACCGACCCGATCCGAACACGAAATTTTCTTATTGGGTCGGGTTGGATCTTAACTTGTTTGGGTAACAATAAAAAGAATTGGGTATTGTTTGGATCTATTAGGCTTGGGTATCCAAGCCCAACCCAAACAATAAGCCAACCCAAACAATAGCCAAAACCCTTAAGATCCCTCCTTCTCCCAGGACCCTGCCGCCGACTTCTTCTTCCTCGGGTTCCGCCGCGCCGCCGTTGCCGGCAACATCACCCTCAGCGGCGTCGCCGAGATCGACGGCCGCGGCGTCCTCAAGCTCACCAACGAGACGACCTGTTTCTACCCTAGCCAGGCGGCGGAGGATTTCATCCTTCTGCCGGAGACCACGCCGTCCAACCAGATCTCGCGGCCATCGCGCCGCCGCCTCCGGAAATACCGCATCATCCCCGAGTTCTGCGCGGTGAAATCATCGACCGGCGACAACAACGCTGCCGTCTCTGTCCCTGGGAACCACCATCGCAAGCGGTCCAGAGACGCCATCGGCGACGACCTCTTGAGCGGCGATCGCTTCTCGGCGACTCACGATCCTCGCAAGATGACCAAGGCGTCGCCGTCTCGGGGGCACGAATCGGGGGCACGAATCAAGATGACCAAGGCGGCGGGACAGTCCTTAATCGGAGTCTTGAAATACAAGTCTACAATGTAATTTGAGTTATCTGTCACGTGAGGCTTCCCGTCTTCACTCAACCGTAGCTTTGCCTCACACCCTTCTTCATTGAACAACTCTTGAAGTCTCACCTATCAACATCAGAATTCCCAAATTGATCAGCTTCTCGCAACATCAAGAACTGAATAGTATCACGATGAACCCTTGCTTTTCAGGAGCAAAATCCTCTGTCGATTTCAGTCTAAACTACAATTAACACAGAATTTCTATTCAAAAGCATTCTGAATACTTAAAAGGGTCTTGCTTCTGTGTGTTCAGTTTGACAAGTAACCAAAACTAGGGGTGTCAAAAGTACCCGCTCAAACATGACCCGACTCGAACCGAACCCGACCCGATTGTGCGGCTATATCATGTTCGGTCTTGTTTCGGGTCGGGCCAAGCACATATATTCATTGTTTCGGATCAGGTCGGGTATCATGAAAACCCGACCCGACCCGTTGACACCCCTATTGGCCAACATGCCCAGACTCACTTCATTACTCAAGCTCATGGCTACAAGAAAGAGAATTCTTCTTGCAATGGAAAGTCTAAGAAGAAGGGCGAATACAAGAAGAAAGAGAAGATCATATTCAAGAAGAAATCCAAGGAATGCAAATCTGGTGGTAGCAGCAGCAGCAGCGATAGCGAGAGCGAGAGTGACAACGACCGCTTCTGAAAGGTGAAGATATAAAAGGTATACAACCAGGTGGTAGCTAACTATTTCACATAACTTAAGGATTAACAAATATGATTATAAAGATGATAATCACTCCTCAAGGATTTGTGATCCGTTGAGCAATTGAATGATAACTTCATTACAGGGAAACATCTTTACATATAATCTCAACAAATGCATATAAACAACAAAGGCTACACAAAACTCCAACATGTCAAATTTTGCCAGGGTAAATATCCTAAAAAAAGGAAAATCTGCTGGTATCCTTACTTGTGTTGTCTAATATATTTATACTCGACATCTTTTATATACCAATGCATATATGATCAAGTGCCTCAAGGAAGATATCGGTCTTAGTTTATGAGACACTCATTGTAGCAAGAACAGGGTGGCCAAAATTTCTCCTTCATATGGTCTCATCTGAGACTCAAATGTATGAAGCTCGCTCTCTGACAACTTACTTACGTGTTTTGCAGGCTTAAGGGAAGCAGCTGTTAGACATCAGATCAGAAGAAAGTTCCCTGTCATCCTATCCTAAATAAGTAAGGACAATAAAGTGACGTGACTTATTATAGACCCTTGATGCAAAGCAAAAGTTGCACCTATATGGCCTCTTGTACTATGAATGCTAATGAATGAATTTGCTTCAGAAATCTCTCTTTCTTCCTCTGCTTCATGTCCCTTGATCATTAATTTAATAAGGTAAAAAAAAGCGATCTCATTCAAATAATTATCGAGCTGAAACTGACTTTGCAAAACTAAAAGAACCACTGCTAATACTGATAAAGAAATCGACAAATAAATCCAAGGGATGTTGACAAATCAAAGCGTCAAGATTGTTTTCCCTTTTGACCGACATCGGGAATCATTTTAACGTTGGTTCAATTGAATGCAATTAGATGAGCTGAGATGAATTCACATATCCATCTAAGAGAGTAATTGACCTGGAACCTACTACTAGTCGCGTTGGAGCAAGAAAGAGAGATATAGCAGAAATCACTCACATCGTTGATGCACTCAACTGCATGATCTTAACAACATCTAGCAATTGAGTATAAAGTAGAACAGAACGTGCATTTGTTCATACGCCTTCTTTTAGCTTAAAGAATTTCTTCATCACTCTAACATCAAAAGGCGCTTCTCCTAAATATTACACACTGTAGAGGGCTTCACAAGTCTGCTCGACTAAAGGCAACAGCAAGTAGCGTACATAAAAAAAATCTTTTATTCAGGGGAGTCCTGAATGATGGCAAAAGTACATGATGAAGCTATAAACCTAAGAAGTAAGGTTGAATAATGATCGTTTCAAGAATGGGTAAGAATACTTTCAGCAACTTTAAACTATTTTTTTTTTTTTTATAACCGAAGATCCGCCACCATTCCCGGGGACGAGCCCGCACAGGTAATCGTGGCGCCTATACCTCAGAGGAGACTAGCCCAGCAACCCACCGCCAGGGCCCCCTACTTAAATTACGGAACCAAGCGGGGATTCGAACCCAGAACCTCTTTGAGGGAAGGAAAACGCCCACCAACTCGGCCATGCGCAAGTGGGTAGCAACTTTAAACTGTTACTAGTTCACCCACCCAAAAAAAGTTTGATCAGCTTAAACCAAGACAAATGCCCAACCCAGCTATCTCAACTCATTGAGAGATTTAGAAACTTTGGCCTCACTAAATAAAAAGACCAAACTTATGTTTTAACATATGAGGAGAATGACTAACCAAAAGGGAAAGTGGAAGCGGAAGCTAGCAACTATTAGTTTTAATGCTTTCACTCTCTCAGATTTTTCTCCCTTAAAATGTTGTTAAAATATGTCTCGATTTTGAGCCTAAAAAAGGAAAGTTTCATATTTTGAATAAGTTCCTAATTGAATAGTTTCCTAGTTGAAAAAGGTTTCCTAATTGGAGAAGGTTTCCTAAAAAGAGATTTCCGATTTTGGATCCAATTCTTGCCTATATATGAAGGGGATGTTATTTGCGAAGAGCCTCAAAGAAAAGCTTAAGTGTTAAAGCCAATTAAATTCTTGTGGTAAAAATTTGTGGATAATTCCTTCATGGGATTGGGAGATTATTTCGTGAGGAATTAGGACTAAATACTGTTTGAGTTATTAGGTGTAATTGGGACTTGGGAAATACCGAGAGTGTTTGAGTGACTCGAGTGTGGTTGTAATTTCCGTTGTATCGTTTGATTTATAATGGAATTGCTGCTCTCTCCGTGGATGTAGATCACTACGACCGAACTACGTAAATTTGGTATCCGATTTATTTTTTTATTCTATCAAATTTATTGTTCGATCGCTTGCTTTCGCAACAAACGTGAATATTGAACTACCCATAATTCGTCCTTAACCCCATTTATAGCCAAAATCTTGTCGTTTATCGTGCTTGACCACGGTTCGAGAGGGCAATGTGTGAGCGCTAGCGATGGAAGTGCAATATACTAAGTTAATAGAGAGATGACTGAGGCATTACATCGGGTAAACATTAGGTATCCTTGTCACTGCCATCCCTATTTAATCAAAATCAGAAAAAGAAAAAGGTACTAAACCAATTAATATAAGGTATCATCATTGCTTGTTTATCATGCATCTTGGCTATGTGTAATTAGAATTAAGAAACATGGCTAGCTCTGAGAGATCAGTGAGACGATCGTTGAAGAGGACTTTAATATCCTGGGGAGCATGCGGTATCTTATATTATTAATTCTGAACCATGTTGAAATTTATTAATTCCACCAAAAAGCCCGTGTCTGATCCATGACTTGCCTTGTTTCGATTGATGGTTCACCGCTCTGCATGGCATGAAATACGAGGCACTCCAATCAAAGAGTCGTAACTCTTAAATTATATCGTCTTTCGACCAACTCTAGGACAACTTAGGTTTGTCAAAGTGCTATGTCAACCCTCACATCTTGGTAAGCAGAAAGTTTTGCCTAACACTACCAAATTTATTTCGTCGAAAATAAATGATCTGGAAATTTTTTTCTAAAAATGATCATTTATATTGCTTACACAAATGAAAGATCAAAAAATATGTTCATCGTTCACGAAAATATTTAGACATAAATTATTGAAAAATGCAAAGTATCTCGTATACCATGTAAAAGGTGACTTATATACAAGAGCAGCGACAACTTTGAGTGATAGTGGACGAAGAGTGCACAATACCTTTCTCAATCGTGTAATTATACAATAGTGCCACACTGTCGTGACATTTCTGAGTTGTGACATTTCTGAAATGTAAATTGATTATGCTTGCCTTAGGATATAGGCAAAGGTGAACTGTTTTCGGTGGTCATTATATTTCGAAGGTATATCGATATGGCCTGCAATTTCGACCAAAAAAAAGAATATGGCCTGCAACGTCCAAAGATAAGTCAATCTTGGCTGGCTAGAGGTTATCACATACTGCTTAAAGTATCCGAAACTCTCATTTCTCTCTTTGACTGAGGTGTTTCTTTTTCACCATCGGTAGACATTCTAGTCCATATATTCTTGACAACCCATCACCATAGAAGTGACATCGCAAGACTCGAAATATGAAAGCAGTCGCATAAAGTACTCTAACTAGATGCCAGGTTTTCTTTTTGTTGGCCAATAAGCAGACACCAGGTTAATTAGACAAATGTCAAAATATGATCGTATTCTAACCTTCTTTCAACAAAATATACACATATATATATACACACACACAAATATATACATATATCTTCCCATTGCCTTCTAGGCCTTTCAAAGAATCCCAAAGTTGCAGAGTGTGGTATCAATCTTACAGAATTTATCCCCACTCAAGAAAATCTATTATAATAGTACAGAGAAAGAACAAAGAGGGAGGTATCATGTACGTATTCACTCACCTTATATAGAAAAAGAAGGCTGGAATCAGTATGAGTGGATACTTTTCAGATAAAAAGGAGACAAAATGTTTGATTGCATCATGTAAACAGAATATGTTCACTCTGTCCCAACTTGGTAAGTAAGGGCGCGAATGATATGTTCCAGAAATCAATTTCTGGCAAGAAATAGATTTTTCTATTTCTATTTCATGCATGAGTTTTTGAGCCAAAACAGGCATTTGATAAGGATATAAAATTTTTGTTTCTAAAATAGAAATTCGTTTGATAACGACATAAAATTTCTCCCTCCCGAGCAGCGGCGGGCGGGAGGCAGCGGACGGTGGGAGGTGGTTGGCATTGGGCGGGAGGCAGCCGGTGTTGGGTGGTGGCGGGAGGTGGTCTATGTTGGGCGGCGGCGGGAGGTGGGTGGCGACAAAGGACGGCGGCCGGCAGGAGATGGCGACGGGAGGTAGACGGCGATAGACGACGGTCAGCAGAGAATGACGGACGGTGGGAGGCGACGGGCGCGTGAGGCAATGGTGGTGGGCGTGAGGCAATTGGTGGTGACAGAGGAAAATATTTATATAAATTGTAAATGAAAAAATGCGTGAACAAAATAAAAAATAAAAAATGTCCAAAACTAGTAGTGAGAGCAAACGATGATAATAGTTTTTATTTCTCAATTCTATTTCGCTCGCGGGGCGAAATAGAAAAGTAGAAAATTTTTACTTCTGATTTTTGTTCAAAACCTATTTTTGGAATAGAAATTTGTTCCAAATAGAAAAATGAAATTGCGTTATGAAAACGATTTGCATTACGAAATATGTTAGAAAATAGAAAAATAGAAAAATAGATAAATGAAAATAGAATGATTATCATGCACCTCCTAAATAGCAAAGTGTCTTATTAGAAAAGGTGAAGGAATCTCATTCACTGTACTCCACAATCCATGGCTATATAATCGTTTCATGGCACCGATCAAACTCGAGCGAGTACAAGAGAAGCCCAGCAAACTCCAAAGAACAAGTCTAACTCTTCACCATGGCCTCCTGCCAGTTGCAAAAGCCCGCTGAACAAACCTGCAACCAGAAAAGCCATGAGCACACATCTGGCCAGTAAATAACTGAGATGACTCATCGGGTAATTAAATCATGCAGCGAATATAAACAACCTCAAGTTC